AAATTTTACATGGTTTTTATTTTTTAACTTTTTTTTATATATTTCTTTGATCTCTCAGCTAAGAAAAATGTAATTTTTTAATTTTTTTATTAGTTTTTTTTAAACAATTTATAATTATTTATAGGGTTAGTTGGGGGAAGGAGGAAAGAGATTTTGTAGGGTTCGAATGTGCAACCCATTGGAGATGAACAGCCTTAACCTAGAGTTCAATGCCACTAAGTCGAAGCAGGTCGTTCTAATTTTTTATTAGTTAGTTTATTAAATTTGTGTAGATATATATTTTAATTTCTTTACTTATAATATTTTTTTTTATCCTTTAATTTATAAGTTTATGAACTAATAATATGTATATATAAATAAATTTAACAGATTAACTAATAGAGGAGTAAAAAAGTATATTTTTCACAATAAACAATTAAAATAGTGTAAAAAAGTTAAAAGGATAAAAATAGTGTAAAATCTTAAAGTTGAGGAACCAAAATAATATTTGATTCGACAAAATCAAACTTAAAAAATTTTTACCATCATCTAATTAGTAATATTTTTTTGTTGAATATAAGATTTTAAATTTAAGTTGTATAATATATGAATGAAGTAGATGAATAATTTAAAAAATTTTAAAAAAATTTTAAAATCATCAAATGAAGTTAATAATTCACTAGTATTATCAAATAAATTTAATAATTTACTAGTATTCTTTTTCCAAGTAAAACTAAGACACTTTAAGTTTGCAAAATTAAAATCAAACTATCAATCAATTTATTTTAAATATGTCAAAAACAATTGGAGTACGCTTTTAAAATTGCTAAAGTGATTAATTGCAGTAGGCCCAACTTATCATCAACAAAAATAAAAACTACAGTACTTATGTGTGTACTACTGCATTATTTTTGTTTGGCCATCCTATACACTTCATTACCTAACGGAAAAAAAAAATTTTTTATTTAATTTTTAATTTTTTTTGGAATTTAATGGAACAAATTAAATAAATACGGAGAAAGATGGTTCCACGATTGGTCGTAGAGTTGGGTATTGAGCGTATGAGATATGGACATGCGATCAAATGGAAGGGCAAACCAAAAATCACTGTCAT